GCGAAGCGGTAGATTTTTACGTCGTATAGATGCGGCGCACGCTCGAGACGGGCGCCCGGCACGTCGGGCACGTCTTCAGCTGGACCGCGCAGTCCGCGCACGTGGCCACGTGCATGCACTCCATGAGGACGCAGTTCTTCGCCGCGTCGAAGCACACGGAGCACTTGTTCTCCACGACGAGCTGCCGCCGCGCGAGCTCGACGGCGAGGCGCCGCTGCGCGCTCGCGAGCCACGCCGCCGCGTGCTCGAGCTCGGGCGTCGACGCCGTCGCGCACGCGCCCGCGATCTCCGTCTCGAGCCTCTCGAAGGGCGCCGCGAGCGCCTCGGGCAGCGGGCGGCGCGCGTGCGAGTCGGCGATGGCCTCGCCGATGGACTGCGCGACGTCGCGCGTCTCCGGCGCGGCGCCGAGGGCGCGGATGCCCGCGATCTTCGACGCGTCGTCGTCGCCGTCCGGCGCGTCGGCGCCGAAGAGACACGCGCCGGGAACGTTCGCCGGCTCCTCGAGGCGCGCGGCGGCCGCGCGGGCCCGCGCCGCGGCGAGCGCGCTCGCGAAGATGGACGTCGTCGCCGGCGCGGGCTCGCGCTGCCGGTCGAAGAACTCGGCCGTGCGCAGGTGCATGCAGCCCGGACAGCTGCCCCGGTTGCCGTGGATGCAGCGCGGCTCGAGCTCCGGCGGCGGCGGCGGGAGCGGCGCCGCTTCCGGGGGTGGCGGGAGCGGCGCCTCCGTCGTCATGGTCGCCGGGATGGCTGCCGATGGCGTCGATGTCCGATTAGAGCGGATCGGGCCCAAAGATCCCAAAGTTGAAATTCAAGATCATCAAACGAGTAGCTCGACGATGGTCCCATCTCGTCACATGGGGCAGCCCGTGCGATGACGCGGCGCTGGGCGCTGCTCGCCGCGCTCGCCAGGGCCGCGGCCGTCTGGCCGCGCGTCGAGCTGCCCGGCGCCTGGCTCCACGCCGTCCACGTCCCGAAAGCCGGCGGCACGACCCTGGACCGCGCCCTCATGCGCGTGCACTGCTTCCTCGGCGGCGACGAGGCCGCGTGCCTGAAGCGCTGCACGGAACGGGACGGCGCGTCCAAGGCCCACGTCCTGCCGCCGTGCAAGACGGCGGGCAACGGCCAGGGGATCCTCAGA